GTGTCTGTTTCTTTCTGGACAGATGCTTGCTAGGTAGATTCTGCCCTTGAGTTCTCTATCCTGCCTCAACCTCCTGAACACTGGGCCTATAGGGGTCCAGCACCACTCCTGGGTTGATTTCCTGTTTTGTGACTGAACCCCTCTTTCTCAGAGGAGCCACTTGCTGCCTCTCTTTTATCTCTGAGCACACCCAGCAAGTGCTCAGACTCATTGCCACAGTCCTCCTGGGAACTTTACTCTCCTAAGGAATTGTTTCCGTAGGAAATGAATTTTTGGCTATAAACCAGCCAACCCATGGTCCAGTGCTGGGTCAAACCTCTTGTGCCACAAAGAGGCCAAAGGTTCGTCATGGACTCAACTGCCTTTGTCTCAGGTATAGTTGGACCTGATGAGAAATCAGGCCATGTGACCTTGGAAATGCCCAAAGTTCCCAGGGCTGGGGTGAGAGGCGGATGAACTTCCCGGTCATCTGTTTCCTGTTAATAATTTCAAGAGCTGTCATGGGAGGAAATGACTCGGGCTCCTCTAATCTTTGACACAACTCATGATAAACCCAATTACGAGCAGAGTGCAAACAATTCAGAGTGGCCCCGAGCTCCAGGTTGTGAGTGAGGTGGTGTCTTAAGACATGAGATGTGGCCCAGCCTAGGTGTCCTGAGATGAAGAACACAAGAGGTGTGGCTGAGGGACAGGAGAGATGCGATTGCAAATGGGATGTACAGATAGGCACAGGATAGTGCGATGGTGATTCTGCACCTACATTTCAGCAGAACTCTGTGGGAGCTTGTATACAGCATTTTCTGCGCTTCTAACTTACACCATGCCCTGAGTTGAGGATGCTATTTTTTTGTTTGTTTGTTTCTTAGAAGAGAAAACTGAAGCATGGCTTAACCACTAGTCTTCCTTTCCCAACCCCAAGGTTCTTGTTGTGTTTAAAACACCTTCAGACTAGAAAGTGTGAGACCCCAGTGAGAACAAGAACAAGAGATTCCAAACTCAAGATTTGACCTAGGGACATATCTTTCCCATCCAAGATGATGAAAACTTGGTAAAATACAGCATCCCTGAGGCTTAGTCCTCTCTCTGCTAGCCATGGTTATCTTAGACACACTACCATTCTGTGCCTTGGCTACTACTTTATAACACAGGGATGACAGTAGGACCACTAGCTTTGAGACTTTTTATGACATTCTACATGTAATGTGCTCATTGCTATACCTCACATGCAATCCATGCTCAGTAGATGCTGGCTATTATCACTGATATAGTCGAGATGTCTTCTTTCTCAGACCAGAAAATACAAAGGGTTCCAGAACTTGAACCTGGGCTAAACCTTAAAGTCCACATCCATACATGTAGACTAACATTCATATACAAATTAGAAATAAATGAATCTTAAAAAAATAATAAAGGAAAGCCTATAGTCAACCTTTGTCATTACTTTTCTCCCTTCAGTCAATGTAGTTTGAACACAGCTGTCTGGGAATCTCAGCCCATGTGAATGAAGACATAAGTAGGCAGTCTCAAGTGCTCTCCAGTGGAATTCTACTCTAAGCTACATCCCCAGGGAGTCCACCAAGGCTTGGAATTAAGATGATTGTCTGTCAGTGTATTTGTACTGGTTAATTTTGTGTCAACTTGAAAGAGTCATCTGAGAAGAAGCAACCACAGTTGAGAAAATGTCTCCATAAGAATGGGCTATAGGCAAGTCAGTAGAGTGTTTTCTTAATTAGTGATCAATGAGACAGGGCCCAGCACATTATGGGTGGGGCCATCCCTGGGCTAGTGATCCTGGGTTCTATAAGAAAGCAGGCAGAGTAAGCCACGGGATGCAAGCCAGTAAACAGCGCCCCTCCACAGCCTCTGTGCCAGCTCCTGCCTTCAGGTTCTTAAGTTCCCATCCTGACTTCCTTCAGTGCTAGACTATGGATGTGGAAACATAAGCTGAATAAACCCTTTCCCCCCATGCTTTTGGTCATGGTGTTTCATCACAGCAGTGGTAGCCCTATCGAAGACAGTATTACTGGAATAAGTTTTATCTGTAGGGTGTTTTAAGAAGACATTGGCTTTGTATAAAACTTGCACAAAGCTTTGGGTGCCTCTCTCCCTTCTAGAGAACTCATGATGGGGGAGGAGTCACAGCCTTGGGAGGTGGAGTCTCAACCAAGCACGTGGAGAAGGAGGGGCCCGTGTGTAAGAGGGGGTCTCATACTGCAGGCTTCAACTACATCAGAGTAAGGGCAAGGTCTCCTGTGAGTCCATATTTCTTTAGTTCTAACACTAGGTCTTATTTGACATGGAGTCCCTTGGGTTCTCCACAGAGCCTGGGTTTAGAATGCAGAAGGGAGGCATTTGCTTCATCTAGCTTGAATGTTATAAGTTCAAGGGCATATGGAGGCTCTGGAGATCCAATTTCCCCTACCCCCAGTTTTGACTTATGTAACAGTGTGAACCTGAGAAATAGGGTTTAGCCCTTTAGCTCCAGTCTCTTCATCAAAGTTGGGGAAAGATAAGGACTGTCTTTGGGCCTGGGTAATCGCTGCAGTCTTGTCTAGTTCTACTTTCTCTAGACCTTGATCTGGTAGAGTTGCTGATACTTCCGGAGGCTGTTATTTCCCAGGATGCAGACCATCTCAGGAGCTTCTTCATGTTTTCACATGGGAGGAGTCAGGAGGCAGCTAGCTTCTGCCTAAGGTCTTACGAGACTCCAAAGATTAAGGCTAGCTTGGGGTTGGGAGTTGGGGGCAGGGGAGGCTTCTCTGGTTTATTATGTCAGGTGACAAGCCTGGTTTGAGTTCCATGATGTGAGATGTACGAGTACTGATGACATCTGTATTCTATGAGAATCAAAAAGTTCTTGACATGTCAGTTGTCCGTGTGGTGTTAGGAAGAGTCCTACAGAGACTAGACATATAGAAACCACCATTACCTAAGCCGTTTACTAGTCTCTAGATGCTGGAGGTCACTAATCGATGCTCTAAAGGATGACAGAGCAAGTCATCTGGCTCTCACATCAGCTTTCGACCCTCTTCTAGAAAGGCAGGAAGTGATATATGGTGTTTGGGAGGCAGCCTGGATATGATTAATTATTTTGTGCCAGAAATGCCAACTGTAACCTTTAGGAGCTTGTGGTTATAATTGAATGACACCTTGAACTAGATTTTCAATGTGGAGGCCATCTTCAGGCCCAACAGGATGAGATTATCTTTGAATGAAGATTCTTGGACAGGTTAGGCACCAGCAAAACACAAACCTTGAAGTAAAGAGAAAAGGGATTGTCTAAATGTGACTTCCATCTCTGGACTATGAGATCCTGGGTTGTGAAATTTTTATCTAATTCTTTCTATGCCCTCTGATTTACTACAACCTCTATAGGGAGGTACTCAATAAAGCCTTGTTTAAAAATGAATTGAATTTATTACATTTCAAATTCTTTTTGTAAACCTCTCTTCTGACCATCAAAACAATCAATAGGAAAAGAATAGAATTGATTTAACTATTAGGAGCATAATTGGTTTGGTGATAAATCACTTCACCTCCAGGGTAAACCACTAAGCTGATTTCTAACACATAGATTGTTTTTCTGCCATTTTTGAAAGTCTTGTAAATGTAGTAATAGTTTCTGTGCCTGAATTCTTTGACTTGGTACTTGGTTTGTGAATCCCATTGGTATTGTAGCATGTGGTATTTGCTTGTCCATTCTCAGTGAAACATACCATTCTACCATAAGAATGTGCTTTCATTATATTTATCCGTTTGGGTAGTTTTTGGCTGTTTTGAATAGTTATGCTATGAACGTTATTCCACATGTCTTTTGTACATAAAGTTAAGTGCAATGTATTATGTAGTACCAAGGACTAGAATTATTTTGTCATTAGCACATAGATGGTTGGCTTTGGTATTTATCATCAAATGATTTTCCTAAAGGATATTTCTGATTAACTTTGAGTTTTACCTGGGTGTCTGCCTATGGCGTTTAGTCTTCTGGATTACCTAAGGAACTAGGAATTTCTTCAGCAAGGAGAGAGCTTCAGGGAGATATGCCTTTACCCAGCAGCCTTTGCTGTGGGTTATAACCTTGAAGAAGGGGCAATTATTGGACATGAAAGGTTTAGGGCATTTTCTTCATGGAAGCACTCTCTTGCACTAAGCCCTCATCCTTTATGTAAGCTCACAAGCCCTTGTGCTACCTCCTTTAAGGTGAGATGAGGCGACTCTGCCAGGAAGAGAAGACAAGTGATGGGAGAAATCTCCCTGGAGGTGGGGCAATCTGTGCTGGGCTTTGAACATGACACAAACCTTATACAAAGCCTGGAGAGTAAACTCTTTCCTGTCCAAATGTGTTTTTAAAGGGATTCTGTCAAGGCAGGCATACTCTGAGGGTGTTTATGTCCTGACAGCCTGGCATGTGAATTTGAAGGCACGGGCTAAGGGAGCACTGCATGAAGTGGCCAGTCAGATGGAGAATGCAGAATGAGGGGAAAAATCTACCTTTGTGAGCATTTAGTGAAGCTTATATTCTGTGTCTCATTTCAGATGCAAATATCGCAGAAACATTAGAGGAACAGACTTATATTTATTTTAAGACCCTTTCTTACCCAAATGGGTTTTTAAATGCACACAGTGGTAAGAAACTAAAGAATTGCCTCTAAAGCATGGGAAGGAATGGAGAAGTTTGGATTGGGGACAGATTCTGGACTCTGAACTTGAGGCTGCCATCTACCCTGATGGGAAGCGTTGGGGCAGGACAGGCTAGAAGGTAACAGTCACTCTTACTGAAGTCATGGTTGTCAGAGGCTTTAAGAAAGGATATATAGAAGGAATGACTCAGGACTCACCTGAAACAGACTTAGTAGGTTAAGAACCCCTGGAGCTACTTGGGCATTTTACTGTACACAGGGCTACTGACCAGAGTGCACACTAATTCCTTCTAGACCAATATTTGGAATCTGACGTCAGAATCTAGATTCTACATGGAGGGATGTCCTCATAACCGGCACCTCAAGGTAGACACCCACATCCTGTACTTCTACAGATTATTGGCAATTCAATGGCCCCTGGGGTCAGAAAGCAGGTAAGGCCATTGGAAATGGGTCAAGAAGTCCACTCCACTGAGGTGGGCAGTCAACCCATGGGAGCTCACCTCCAGTTTAAGGATCACCAGTTAAGGTAGTGAGTTTTAACCTGTGAGTTTACCTTTGAGGCTTAAAAGAACCTCTCACAAGTGTCACATATCAGATATACTGCATATCATATAGTTACATTATGATTCATAATAGTAGCAAAATTACAGTTATGAAATAATGATAAAAATAATTTTATGATTGGGCATCACCACAACATGAGGAACTGTAGTAAAGCACCATGGGATTAGGAAAGGTGAGAACCACTGAGTTAAGGGCTACCTGTTTTTACCGGAGCTACTTTTGTGGTGAATGGCTTCTTTAGAGAGTTCTTTTCTCATGGCCAACCCTGATTTTACTTCCTTGGGGTGCTTGCTTTGGGTCCCCTCACTCACCTGAAGGATCCTTAAGGCAAGCCAGGAAGTTAATGGAGCATGGAGTGGGAAGGGTGAAAGGGGCCTCTTTACCCATCATTTCTTAGAGATGTGGTCAGAACACAGAGTAAGAGGCAGGGCGCCCCTTTTGACATCCTTTATCATTCCAGATACTCAATAGGAGGGGAAGCAGGCTTGCTGTATTTATTTATTTGTTTGTTCCTTTCTTTCTTTCTATCTTTCTTTCTTTCTTTCTTTCTTTCTTTCTTTCTTTCTTTCTTTCTTCCTTCCTTCCTTCCTTCTTTCCTTTCTTTCTTTCTCTCTTTCTTTCTTTCTTCCTTCCTTCCTTCCTTCCTTCCTTCTTTCTTCTCTTTCTTTCTTTCTTTCTTTCTTTCTTTCTTTCTTTCTTCCTTTCTTTCTCTATTGCTACACATCTTACAAGTGAAGAATCATCCATGAATTCATCCATTCAGTCAATGACCATTCATCAAGCATCTGTTAGATCATGACACAGTGCCCCATGGCTCTGCACACCCAGGGGGGAGGATGGATGCTGTCCTTGTCTTCAAGAGCTGGAAGTTGGGTCATCTCTCACTGCTTTCCTAAAGGCAGATAGATGTCTGATCTAATGAAGATGAGTGCTTAGAGTCTTTTGTGTGAATGCATACATCGCAGAGACTATAAACAGATGTTTAGAGAGCAAAACATTTAAAGCTGTTTAAGCCACTGATTTAACACAACCATTCCCATACCCACAAACTGGTTCTAATGGTCATATAAAGAGATGGGTTTTCCTAGTTAAACCAAGCAACTGTAGAACTACCTGAAACTGCTCAGGAATGTGTCCTAGTATCACAGCTAAAACTGAATACAGATCAAGCTTTACTAAGGGAATTAGCAAGCCACATTTGCTTAGAGACGTGACTGTAAACTGAAAATGTCAAAAGTCTATTAAAAGTCAATGTATCCATTAGAGATTAGGAAGAAAAACTCTTGTTTAAGATAAAGTCTTAATGATGGATTTGGTCAACCATGTCTTATTCTGTGAGGTCCTGCTTGAAGTCTGCCCACAGACACAGAAGAAACTTTGTCATAACCCACATGTGAGGTCACATAACTGACTAGCGGGGTCATGAGGAATTAGGCAGCCAAAATTGTTTCTTAATATTTAATGACCAAAAATTAATCAAAATAAATGTGCAATGCACCCGAGGTGTTCTGGCCATCCTACATTCATGTGTTGCACTGTGTAACCTTGGCTTTGAACACACATGTGTGCTTTGCCATCACATGGTACATGCCATCATAAGATGCTGCACCAACAAACACTGCCTAGAATGTCTAGGCTCAAATTCCAGACTGCTGCACGCTATGGCTGTGATGTTTTACTGCACATACAAGGGTTTCTGCTCTTACAGAGGCAGGGTTTAACATAATGAATAACAAAGACTTAATATTTTGCCCCATTATTTCTCAGCCTTAACTACCAGATTCATGCATCTTTGTACTGTGTTGTATTACAATATTCGATCTTAAAAGCTGCTGTTTAGTTTCTGACTTGTGTCTTATGAAATTAATTTTGGCTCAAGATTAGAACAGAATTTCCAACAATTTCTGAACTGGCTCTGCTGAACTGGCTCTGAACATATTTCTGCCATTTTGTATTATGTATTTATAGAAAACAGCATTCTAGGGACTGAAGGAATGGTTTAGAAGTTAAGAACATGCACTGTTCTTACAAAGGACCCAAGTTCAATTTCTAGCACCTATCCTGGGTAGTTCATATGTACTTGTAACTCCAGCGCCAGGGGGACCCAGTACTTCTGGTCTCTGCAAGCACCTTCACACACACACACACACACACACACACACACACACACACACACACACAGAGAGAGAGAGAGAGAGAGAGAGAGAGAGAGAGAGATACACATACACACAGAGACAGACATAGACTCAGAGATACACATATTTTCTCTCACACACAGAGAGACATAGAGACACAGACAGTCACACATAGATATACACAGACACATACACAGTCATACACAGATAAACATATAGAGGACATAAACACACACACACACACAAAGACACACTGAGAGTTAAAAATAAAATAAATCTTTTAAAGAAAAGAAAACCAGCATTTTCAGCTTTATGGGTTATAAAATCAAAGTACCATTTAACTCTGAAAAATGCTGGGAGCATTCCCCACTCTACAGCATCAGATATTCAACTAACAAGTGTGCCTGTCTTGTTCCAGTACAACTTTGCCTTTGCCCTTAACAAATGATAAAATACATGCATACCGAAAACTTTTAAAGTAAATTGCTCTATGGTAGATGGTAAGTATCTGATTTTATTCCTGGTCACATAGAATTTCCCTGATGAAAAGGTATTCCTAGTACCAAAACAAGAAGCCTTGCCTTGCAGGAGGCTCAGTGGACCTCATACTGGCCTGAATAAGACATAATAGTTTCAGCTTGTGAGTTACAGAGTCTCCATGGCATCTATTCAGTCCTTCAGCTGCCTTACCAAGGCAACTGTGGACAAGAGTAAACAAGCACATGTAGCTGTGTTTCGTTAAAGTAAGCTCGGCCAGATTTGGCCCACAGTCTATATTTTATCAACTCTTACATGAAGGTTTTGTTTTGTTTTGTTTTGTTTTTTGAGACCTTTTGCATGGTCTTAAGAGTTGGTATACTGGTTAGCGTTCCTTTAGTCAGATTGAAACAACTAGGTGACCCCCTAAAGGGAACCTCAACTGAGAAAATGCCTCCATCAGGTTGCCTGTAGGCAAGTCTCCAGTGCATTTTCTTGATAAATGAGTAACATAGAATGGCTTGGCCCACTGGAATCAGTGCCATCCCTGGGCATCGGTTGTTTAAAAAAGTGGTATGAGTCGCTACAGGTTCTATCACCCCTTTGTTGGGTATTTTAACTAATGTCATACCTGTTGGGTCCTGGGAGCTTTAGCTTCCTTGGCATCTGGGACTTTATAGTGGTCCCTCTTTCTGTTCCCCATTCCCCACTGCTACATATTTCTATTCACTTTCCTGACCATTTGGACTTTTCTCCTGTCTCTTCCCATACCTGATCCTGCCCGCCTTTCCTCTCCATCCTCTCTCCCTCTCAGATCCCTCCCTCCCTCTACCTCCCATGATTATTTTGTTTCCCCTTTTTAGGGAAGGATTGAAGGATCCACACTTTGGTCTTCCTTCTTGTTAAGGTTCATATGGTCTGTGAGTTGTATCATAGGTATTCTAAGCTTTCAGGCTAATATCCACTTATCAGTGAGACATACCATGTGTGTCCCTTTGTGTCTGGGTTACCTCACTCAGGATGATATTTTCTAGTTTCATTCATCTGCCTGAGGATTTCATAAAGTCATTGTTTTTAATAGCTGAGTAATACTCCATTATGTAAATGTACCACATTTTCTGTGTCCATTCTTTTGTTGAGGGACATCTGGGTTCTTTCCAGCTTCTGGCTATTATAAATAAGGCTGCTATGAACATAGTAGAGCATGTGTCCTTGTTATATGTTGGAGCATCTTTTGGGTATATGCCCAGGAATGATATAGCTGCGTCCTCAGGTAGTACTATGTCCAATTTTCTGAGGAACTGCCAGACTGATTTCCAAAATGGTTTTACCAGCTTGCAATCCCACCTGCAACTTGTTTCTTTACATCCTTGCCAGCATCTGCTGCCGCCTGAGTTTTTGATCTTAGCCATTCTGATTGGTGTGAGGTTAAATCTCAGTTGCTTTGATTTGTGTTTCCTTGAAGAGTAGGGATATTGAACATTTCTTTAGGTGCTTCTCAGCCATTCAAGATTCCTCAGTTGAGAGTTTTGTTTAGCTCTGTACCCCATTTTTAATAGGCTTATTTGTTTCTCTGGAATCTAACTTTTTGAATTCTTTGTGTATTTTGGCTATTAGACCTCTATCAGATGTAGGGTTAGTAAAGATCTTTCCACAATCTGTGAGTTGCTACTTTGTCCTATTGACAGTGTCCTTTGCCTTACAGAAGCTTTTCAATTTTGTGAGGTTCCATTTGTCAATTGTTGATCTTAGAGCCTGAGCCATTGGTGTTGTGTTCAGGAAATTTTGCCCTATGCTAATGTGTTCAAGGCTTCCCCCCCCCACTTTATCTTCTATTAGATTCAGCATATCTGAATTTTTTATATGAAGTTTTATGTGGAGGTCCTTGATCCACTTGGACTTGAGCTTTGTACAAGGAAATAAAAATGTATCAATTTTCATTCTTCTACATGCTGAACGCCAGTTGAACCAGCATCATTTGTTGAAAATGTTGTCTTTTTTCCACTGGATGTTTTTGACTTCATGGTCAAAGATCAAGTGACCATAGGTGTGTGGGTTTATATCTGGGTCTTCAATTCTAGTCCATTGATCTACCTGTCTTGTCTCTGTACCAATACCGTGTGGTCCAGTAGATAGGCATGACCCCAGTTGAGGGATGGGGCCACCTACCAATCTCAAAAATTTTAAACCAGATTTGTTCCTGTCTAAAGGAAACACAGGAACAAAAAATGGAGCAGAGACTGAAGGAAAGGCCA